CTATCCGCAATGTCGTCCCTCATATTTTTGAGGCTTTACGCCAACTTCAAAACTGTGGCCCCCTATGAATATTATGCCCTTGTTTGATCGAAATTAAAATCATATTTTTAGCAGATTTCGATAAAAGTTGATAGAATGCGTAGTTGAAAAGTTGTGGATCATATGAAATGTGTGGTCAAAATTAATTATTGACTTTGATTAGAAAACGAGCATTAGTTTAATTAAAACATTCATCAATACAATGACACTGAAAAACAAAAAAAAAAAAAGTACAAATAAAACAATGAATAAAAAATTAAAAATAAAAAGTGGGCCCCCCCACATGTGAGGGTTTGTCAACCTTTTTGTACAACTTTTTTTGTACAAGTAGTAAGGTTGCTACAAAAATTGAATCACCCTTGGTCCATGAATGTTGTGCTTATAACATAGTAAACTCAATTTCGGAGAAAGTCAAGAGAGCAACGTAAGTAACATAAAGCTCAAAAGCTTGCCATCGTATAGTTTGGAAACGGATTGTATGATTTCTTAGCGACTATAAATGAAGGATCTTTAGGCGATTTTTCAGCAACATGTATAGTATGACTATCGATGAAAGAGGACGATCGACTTTCAGTTATATTTCACCAATTCTCGTGTAAGGAGATTTCTAAAAGTAACAAAAATAGATAATAGGCAAAATTTACTGTGAATAACTTTCTTGATGTATTCAAATTCTCTGTTTTAATTTCTTGTGTCCCATCTTTCATTTTACATTTTTATGTGATACATAGTTATGCAGGGGCGAACCCATTAAAGGCCCAGTGGGGGCAATTGCTTCTACTGGGCCCTTAATTTTTGGCATTTACATAGTAGTCTTTATAGTTTTTTACTCCGTAAATTTTAAGTTTTTAACTCATAATTTTTACATAATTCTGTATCGCTTCCACTGAATCAACGTTCATGGGTCCGCCCCTGTAGCTACGGTGAGATTTTAATTTCTCAGCTGCATTACTGTTACCTTGTTTGATACCATGTGTTGCATGGATCCCACATTCATTTTGAGCACCATTACTCGAAGAAGAAACCTCTGATTTATTAGGGAAGAAATCTAGAACTTTAACAAAGTCGTCATCACCGTTCTTTTTCATTTTAGAAGTAGAGTTAGGGATGTCAAATGGGAATTCACTTGTTGGCTGACCTTGCCTCAAAGGTGAGCCACGGGCAAGTCGAGCTAGCGTTTTTCCATTTGAGTTGCTATCCGCAAGGTCGGCCCTCATATTTCTGAGGCTTTACGCCAACTTCAAAACTGTGCCCCCCTATGAATATTATGCCCTTGTTTGATTGAAATTAAAATCATATTTTTAGCAGATTTCGATAAAAGTTGATAGAATGCGTGGTTGAAAAGTTGTGAATCCTATGAAATGTGTGGTCAAAATTAATTATTGACTTTGATTAGAAAACGAGCATTAGTTTAATTAAAACATTCATCAATACAATGACACTGAAAAAAAAAAAGTACAAATAAAACAAATTGCAAGAATCTAGAGAGAGAAATGAATACAAGTGCCTTGAGCAGCAACTCCTTGAATAAGTGTAAGACTCACCATAAGAGCATTAGAAAAAATAATGACCGTAAATTTTGAAAGCGAAAAGAGACATTTTGTTTTTTGTTAAAAAAAGGAAAAATGATGGATGTGAAGATGTATATATGAAGAAAATAATGGTTGTGATATATTTATGTGATACATAACTATATGTGATGAGCTTTATGCCATTTATATAGTTGTTAAAGAAATATTTACATTTTCAAATTTTATTAGTTTCTTTTTGTTTTTATATGATAATTCTAATCTAAAAAATTTATTAATTATAATTTTCGTTTTTCTTGAATCAGTCAATTAACTTTATGTCATTTGGCTCATCAAAGCAAGCATTAAGCGATCGCCTACGCCGCCTATGGTCATGGCCATCCCTAGTCATCCGGCTTGCAAGAGTTGGCTCATGGCTCACTTGTGAGGTGAAATTTTAATTCTGAATGAAATTTAAAAATAAAAGAAGTGCCCCTTTTATTACTTAAGAAGTCCGCGACAAACGGTTAAAAGAGGAGTTGACTGTCTTTTTTCACACTTTATTTATATGCTGACCTTTTTGAAAAGGCCTCATGTTTAAGCAATTTCTTTTCATGCCTCATAGAACACACATGATAGGCAAAAATTTACTTATTTCAACATTACTGAAATAGTCACTTTAAAAGAAATAACTTTTTATTTTCAACAAAAATAAATATTTATTTTAAATTAGCACATTTTGCTCAGTGTGTCCAATTAATGGATTGGGGGAGGGGGCAGATCTGTTGCATGGTGTGGGGTAGACCTTTGCAATGAAACAGACATTGGAGCTACCATTAATCATAATAATAGCACCATGAAATAGGATTAACATAGCCAAAATTGTAAATGCATCAATATTTTGCTCCCAAATTAGATGCCTGACTTGTTTGATTCTCTTAAAAACACGACAAATTTCCATTTTCAGGTTACAAGATTTGATGAGATGGGACCATTGAGGTTTGAACCCATGTGCCATTTTGGTACGACCATATGATAATTTCTGCATCAATATTATGATGGTATGACAACAAATCTTGTACACAACCAAAAATGTACTGGTCAATTGGATCCCTACCCCCCTGAAAATCACCTTGTTGGAGATTGCACCACATATTTTTTTTGGACTGAATACTTGAATATCTGTTGCCCCCTCTGGAAATGGACAGCCATAATTTTGCTGGAGAAAGAATGAATAGCTGTAGAGGGATTTGGTGTTCAAGACGAAAACTTTCTCGATTTATGATAAATTTATCGTATAATGGTTAATGACTTTGACGTGTTTAATAAGTTGGATTTGGACAAAACTTAATCTCGTGTAACAAATATGCACACTATTCAATATATATCTTCTTAATTAACGTGCGTTAGTTATGTTAGGGTTAATCTATTTGTTTGACGAGAAAATTTATAGGTGCTTAGATGACAACACTTGTATGATTGCCATTTTTTTAAAAATTTAAATTCTGTTGAAAGTTAAATAAAAATCGAAACAATAATCAAAGTTATAAACAAACTTTCCGTTAGTAATATTAAAAACACAGATATTTCTATAAATTGGATTTATCGTCGAGAATTCATCAATAAATAAATTAATAAAAACATGAACTCGTGAGATTTCCACCTAAATAAAATATAAAATATCCAATCGTAGACCTCTTATCTATCAGTCAATGAGCTGACTCTATCCGCATCTTCATAAGTATAAACACGAGGAAGTCAATTAAGCCCCTGTTTCGTGGGGGATTAAAATCAGTTTTTAGTAGATTTTGATAAAAATGATGAAATGTGTACTAAAAATTAATTATTCACTTGATTTAAATTAAAATCAAGGCTAAATAACTTTTCTTTTCAGGAGACACTTAAGACGTGGGCATGGTATAGAAACTCAAAGTCCACATATATATATGATGTGTTTGAGGCACATTATTTTGGAAAAAAGTATTTTGAAATAGTAGATTGTTGGAGAATGTGTGGTTGAAAAAAAATTGATGTGATGAAATATATTATTTTATTGAAAAATGTGTGGTTGAAAATTAGTATAAAAATAAAAATGAAAATTTTAATATGACTCAAACAGAAACATAGCTTCAACTCTTCCAATATGAAGAAGTTATGGTGTAGGGTGCCTTTGAATTAAAACTTTTCTATGCTCACAAGAGAATCTAATTAACCATGACATGACAGTACTTTTCACGAGTTAATGGCTATTAAGGACTTGAGATGATCCATTAGCTAGGTCTGCGATAAATAATTTTCAATTCGACTTGAGGTTTGCAATGATTGCATTACATGAGTGAAGTTTTGCCCGTGGAGATTTAGGATAAGAACAAGTTCAATATTTAAATTAAATAATAATATAAGTATCATTTGCATATACCGGTATTAATATATCGTGTACAAAATAACAATCGCCGTAATTGAAAATGAAATAAAACATAATTACGTGTCTAACGTGTTAAGTCATTGTTTGGCCCCCATTTTGGAATAATGTTTGATGAGATAATATGTGGTTGAAAAATTTTAATTAGGGCCAAACAAGGGATAAATTAAAAATTAAAAGAAAACTTCATTAGTTATAAAATTTGTTACAATCACTTATCTAAATTGAGAATAATAATAATAATAATTACAATACGTGGCAAATGCAACTTCAGATTCTACATGTTTCTCTCAACTGATTACTAATCATTCAGTGACCCCATTGACAGATGGGTCCTCATAAATGCACGGTTCAGATTGAAGTGATTGTGGGCCATACCTAATAGAGCCAATGAGCACCCACCACTGATCTTCATGGCGCCAGCTATGCCTTCTATTATTATACATCTTGTTTGTTAGTGACAAATAATTCTGTACATTGGTTAATTAAAAGCAAATTAATAGCACGTGGGTTTCTCCCCCTGGAGGACCTCACAAGGTCCGCCTAAGTCGAGACAACATATTAACCTCATCCTTCTATTATGGGTCCACTTAACAAAACTTTTGATTTTGCTTATAATCCTTAGTTCTCGTAAAAAGAAAAATTCATCTTAGATTATTCGCTTTTGAAAAAAAATTTGTCGAACAGACACTGAACATGTCGGTGAACGGAAAAAGGGAATCCGAAATGCCATAGAATAGAAACCAGTTTGCAACAATTCATATTAGAGTACATTTATAGTAAGGTATTGTGTGAAGGAGAAAAATGCCCAAATGTGACTTTTCATAACACCAGCCAAATAACCAAACCTTGAAAAAAAAAATGGCCTTTCCCAAACCCTAACTAATCCTCCAAATTGGTCACACATAAAAAATTAAATAAAAATAAAATCATTCAATATTAAAAAAAGAAAAAGAAAAAGAGATCAATACTCAGTTTAGAACAAATTAATCAAACTTCACGCATTATGCAAATGGGAGGACCATGATTATTCATGAATGGTGACTCGTTGTGTCTTGCCGATCATCTCCACCGTGGTGCGAGTGTTCACTTGCATGAGATTCCGACATGACACTGACAGGCCGATACGAATTCAGCCCCGCTAGCAATGCCAATTGTCCTTCTCCCAAGCCATTACTGCCACCGCCGCCGCCGCCACCAATACTCGTGCCTATTTGTTGACTCGGCAATACCGCTACCGGAGTTGGAAAGTTCATAAAATGTAGTCCACTAGACATAGTCCCTCTATATAAAGCAGCAGCAGCAGCAGCATTATTATTATTATTATTAACAGAAGGAAATGTCCATATTGGCTCACCACCACCCATGGCTTGGTTATTTGAATTGGCCACCATCCAAAAATTGGCCGGAACTGAAGCATGGCTCGACGGCATCGCCCCTGTACTTGACTGGAGTAAATAATTGTTCATGTGGTAATGCTGCGGTTGCTGTAATTCTTGCTCCGCACGACGCTTTCGCCCTATACTCTCCTCCGTCTCAGTTAAATCGATCGAATTTTCGCGAATTTCTTGCTTAGCCTGCATCGAACTAGGGTTTAGGTTTGCTGCCTGAAAATTCAACAAAGTTCCCAACGAACCCTCCGATGGCAACCCGATGCCCGGAAAATATCCTCGACGTTGTGGCGTCGAAAAGCTGGGATTAAAGTACGAAGATCTTAACTGAGAAGGTATTGACATGCTAGAACCTGAACTACGTAAACTTATATTGAGTGAAGTGAAGTTTGCCGGGATTGTACCGGTACCCGTGGCGGCGATGACAGATGGCTCCGCCTGTTGAAGTAGCCATTCTATTGTTTCTCCATCGGACTTATGGCCAAGCTCTCGAGTGAGCTGGAAAACCCTAGCAGCACACAGTGCGGGCATGCGGATGCGCCGCCCACGTCCATCGACCTTCGTGTGGCGATCTTTTGTCGATGTTCGTTTCACTGGCGGCTTCTTCGATGGCTCCGCCGAAATGTCAAGCGTAGAGGTTGTGGTTGTTGATGATCGAGTTGTTGCGTTAGGGCTTATGGCATCGCCGGAGATTCCTAAAGAAGGAAACGCGGCGGAGCTGGTGGAGCAACTAACCTCGTCTTCTTTCTTCTCAAGCAATTGAAACGGAAAGTTAACGTGTCGGCCGCGGTGGTGGTGAAGATGATCATCACCTCCTTCCATGATAACTATACGAAAGATCAAGAAAAAACAAACTAATCTTGCAGCTTTCACTCTCTCTTTTAATTCTATTAAAATCGCGCGATAGGCCCTTAATTTAATTCTATGTGGGTCTGATTTTGTTTCTCTGGATTGGTGCTTTGGAATTCCTTTCACACTTTGAGTTATGGAAGAGAGAGAGAAAGAGAGAGGATAAGGTGGAGACAAGCTTTAAGCAACAAAGATAATGAGTGGAAATCATATGGCTGAGCTTTAAAAAGCAATACAAGAAATAAGTAAAAAGGAAAAGAAAATAAGTGCTTTTTTGTGTTCTTTTTTATTTCTTTTTAGGAAAAGAAAAGTAAAAAACACTGTTTGAAATGCATCAAAAAGAAGGAACTTTTATTTATAATTTTCTTTTGTGGTTCAATTTCTCAACACTTCTAATAGGCTGGAAATTGCTCTCCAACTTTCAAAAATGAGATTTTGACTCTCTAATTTATGTTTAAATTTGATGAAAGTTGCCAATGTGGATGCTCGAATTGTAGGTAATTTTTACGTTAATTAAAACTGTAGGACAAAATCGTCTTACCTCTTAATATTTTTCTATTTTTACGTGAATTATCTTGAGATTTTAACTTCCATTTTGTTGATTTGGATCGCCAGGAGACATAATTTCACTATTTAAAGGTACGGGAGCCATTTCCATACTATGGTGGAGAATCCCACTCTAATTTTTCCTCTTTTTTCTATTTTTTCACCTTCGAAATAAAAATGGAGTAATTTGATTTTTTGGTTGGAAAGAGTATTGGTTCAGACTCCACGTGAGGTGCTCTTTATATAATTCAGTCCATAAAGACAGTGGTGGCCAGTGTAGGTCCCAATCCCAAGTCAAAAATTTGAACGACTTGGGGTTTGTTTGAATCCAATTTATTTTGCAATAATTTTTGGAGAATACGTAAGTGAAAAGTATGAAAAAAAAATTAAATTTACGTATAACATTATTTTATTGATAGAATGTGTAGTTAAGAGTAATGTTATTCATAATAAACAAATACATTAGTCATCCTTATGTAACTGCGTGTTATTTCATATTTGAGACAATATAATTACGGGAAATTAATGTCTCGAATAACAAGATATCATATAAGATGATTATTGCAGTAGTTGACTATGAATGATATTACTCAATTTTAGGCACTCAAAATTATTTTTTATCAAAATATTTCAAGAATTTCTCAAGTACGACCCATTTATTTATTACTAGTTTTTATCTATTTACTATTTAAATAATTTATAAACAATTCTCAAATATGCTATTAGAAAGGCTAAATTTAATCAAAGGACGGTGGGTCCCATATAATTCATGCAATCATTTTCATTTGCCTTTGGCCCTTTGCTGGAATTTGCCTTTACTTTTTGAGCATTTGCTTAGCCTTTTTATCAATGTTTTAATATCCTAAGGAGAAAAAAAATATATTCTCTCCTTCTGTCGAATTATCATCCATGAGCATTATGCCCCTGCAGTTTCGTTGCTATACAAAAAGACGTGTAATAAATTTAACAGTCCCACTACAGTGACATTAAATTTGATGAATAATGTTACTTTACCCGAAAAATGTGACATAATGGTTGACAAAATAGGTGTTGTCAAGATGTGATTGGTTGAAAAAGCTGACAGTGTTTTAAACAATCTAATGATAGGTTGTCATGTGACATTATGTCAATGATGTTCATATAGCACGATTGTTGATGATTTTTTTTTTTTTTTACAATGTGTGAGGTGGCACATTTTTTTATCCTTGGCTTCAACAACACTTCAAATAATTCATAGCACATGCTTTTACACCTCATAAAATGTCAACCTTAATGTATACATGAAATGTACAAATAACATTTTCCTAAATTTAATTAATAATTGCCAAGTTTCATGTATTCGTGATTTTTATAAATATGATATTTTGAAAAGGGATATTTGTTCCAACGCCTAAAAACGATATAGATGAGCTTGGGCTCAACCATTCAACTCCACTACAAAATTATGAAAACTATAGTCGGAGGTTCAAATAACATAACATGCTAGTGGATATAGTTGAGTTCAATATCAACATCAACACGATTATACTATAAGTTTTACGTGACAATATAAGTTTAACGCGACACTATAGTCACGTGGAATGACTTTAATATCGATATAGTTGATAAGTACTAATATTTAAGTCCATTAATCATATAATTTCTACCTAAAATTTACAATATGGGCATTGAGTACCATAGTCTCTCCGATCCTATTTAAACGTGCAGGCCCTTATAATTGCCAACTATTTTTAGCCACCATTTACTTGAACATTAAGTCCATGAGCTGAACATGTAGCTTTGTGGCTTGGGTCAAGCTCAGTATCAATAGTCAACACCAACTCATTCATACTTAGAAGCTTGAGGTGACAATTCAAACGTATAAGTGACAATTGTGATCACGTGGAATGATTTTAATGTATCGACAAGTTAATATAACATGTAAGTACTGACACTTAAATTGTTAATGAGACAACTCTAAACTGCTAGCAAGTCAGGATCAAATTCAATAAATGATCTTACGTACATGTGACAATTGTGATCACATGGAATGACTAATATAAATCGACATGTTTATATAACATATAATTAAGTACTACCACTTAAATGGTTGAATAGACAACTCTAAATTGCTAGCTAGTCAGGATCAAGTTCAATAATTGGTCTTACAAATTATAAATCATCATATATTTTGAATAATAGAAAGGAAGGTACTTCCATTCATTAGGAGATTCACACAATTAGACATCAAGATTTATGCATACCCTCTGTAATCAATTCTCTAGACATGGAACCCCAAGTCTCAGGATCGTTTGATTTAGATTTTGATAAAAGTTAATGAAATGTTAAATTGAAATATTGATAAAAATTGTGAATCTCATTAAGCTCGTGTTTGGTCCTGATTAAAATCTGATTTTAATTCAAATCAAAGTCAAACAATCAATATTAACCATATCTTTCATAAGTCCCACAACTTTTCAATCACATATTTCAAAAATTTCTATCACAATCTACTAAAAATCTAATTTTAATCTCCACCAAACACCCTCTAAATGCCCGGTTAAAATTGAAGTTTGATTCATTGAAGAGTCGATGAAATTTTAGCCAATTTTATCAAAACGAGCACTTAGCCTTTTTTGTTAAAAATTATATTGTTAATAAATTTTGATAAAAATTGGTGAAATGTATGTTTTAAAAGTTGATAAAAGTTTTTCAGTCCCGTGAAATGTGAGGTATAAGTCTTAAAAAATGAATTTTAAAAAAATGGAAGCCAAACAAAGGCTTAATAGCATTGTTATTAAACTCAGACTGGACCAGCTGGTTCAACTTGAAACCCGTCGAACTGGACCATGGTCCGGTCCGAGTTCCCTGATTTTTCAACTAAACAGGCAACCCAGAAAAAGCCCAACCGAACCGTCGGATTTTTATTAAACCGTTAGCCCAAAATCAATTAACCCGTCCGGTCCATATGAAAGCCCTAAAAAGTAAAAACCAACAGGCAAAACCAAATTCTCCTCTCATTCGAATTCTCTTCGGTAGAACCCCAGATTCCTTCATCCGTCGCTCGCAATTCAACTCCCATGAATCCAAAGCTCTAATTTCAAGTTTTATTAGATGGAAGAAGAAGATGTAAGTCCCAAATTTGTGGTTTTTTTTTGTAATTCTCTCTCTTTTTTTTTTTTTTTTGTCGATTACAGTGTGTGATTTTGTTTCTCAAGATGGCCGAATTTTTGAAGATTTTTACCATAATTTCGTGTTATTATTGTCTATATGTTGTATACTATATACAACTATTGTTTTAAATGCAATTTTATGTTTGGTTTTGTTCATATTAAATTTCCAGTTTGTAATACAATTTCATATCACAAAGTTGGAATCTGACCTTACAATTCTAAGTGCCGTTTAGATTTTTCCTTTGTGCAATCAAAAAGAGATTGAGCTGGAGCACTCTATTTAAAAGGATAAGCTGCTGACTTATTAACTTTGTAAATAACAATAACATACTTACTAAGTGTTATTACTGAAATCCGTATTTCATTGTACGGGATTTATAATTTGTTAAAAGGATAAGCTGCTGACTTATTAACTTTGTAAATTGATTTTTAGTCACCTAAATTACATAAGGTTAATTTAGTTAGTATTAGAAAATGTCAAAATTTTATTATTCAATAAACAGATAATAATATATTTAACAAGCATTGACCCGCCGATCCAACAACCTGGTCACCGATCGAACCACTGACCTGCTGCATTGTCCGAGTCAGTGTCCGGCTCAGATCTAACAACTATGCTTAATAGAATATCAAAGCCCACTTAATCATACACGCAATTCAACGTAATTAAGACTCAAATAAGTACACAAACAAAGATTGATATGATAAAACAAGCTACTATTTTACAATGACATATCAATGGATTATCCTGCATCAAAAAAATGTAAGAATATTAATCAATATGTAATTAAGATCATGACTTCGATTTCGTTGTCTCCCATTTATTAAAAAAATGTGGAAGACTGCTTGTTCGCGGAGATTCGAAGGTACCACCTGATGGAGTACCAGGGATTGTTCGCGGAGATTCATAGGTACCACCTGATGGAGTACTAGGGATTGTCCGCGGAGATTCAAAGGTACCATCAGATGGAGTATTAGGGTTTGGTCTTGTTGGAGGTGGAGGAGACTCAGTTTTTGATGTCGTACATGAACTGGATGTGTATAAATTAGTATTACCTGCTAAACTGCCATCAAAATGTTAAAAAAAAGTCACTGATTGACCAACAAAAATTTACGTGCCATATGCTTATTTTGGTCAAACCGCGATTAGGGTCGACTGACTATATATTATACCGAAAGAAAATAAAACTCAATACGAACTCGGTAAAAGGTTATATTTGTTTCGGCTTACCTTAAATCCAACTTGTTATTACATGCTAGTGAATCTGGTATCAATCCACTGAAACCATTATTTGCTAAATTCCTTTGTAATGAATGAGAAAATGTGATGAACCATTAGTCATTTATATGTAACAAATATTTCATGCACTAGGGCAATTAATGTAGAAATTTTTGGGTTGACTTACAGTACTTTTAGCTTGGGGAATTTGCCAAGGAATGAAGGAATAGCTCCAGTAAGACCAATATTTCCATGCAAATCTCTGTAATTTATTTGGGTATAAATAATTAATAAGTAGATGAATCTATGGTAAGATTGAACTTAGAACTAACACTGTGATATGAATTCAAATCTGACGATTAGGCCTCCATATTTACGTACATTATCTCGAGGGCATCCATAGAATTGAAATCAGGAAGGGGATAAGAGAGGTCTTTCATAACACTGTGATATGAATTCAAATCAGACGATTAGGCCACCATATTTACGTACATTATCTCGAGGGCATCCATAGAATTGAAATCAGGAAGGGGATTAGAGAGGTCTTTCCGGCCAAGATACCTGAATTGTTCTTTCCACAAGGCTCAAAATTTATTCGTGTATATGTAAATTGCAGTAGTGTGTGTATCTAATGCATTGAAAAAATATATATTTTAATTCTTACAGCGCTGTTACTCGTGGATTAAAATCTATGTTACATTCGATCTCGCTCCATGTTTGTGGAAGACAAGGGTCCTCATTCGCCAGGTACGGTGGCCACAACCACATGTAACTAGTCCTCAATGCATTTAGCCCTGATACTGAACAAGTGAAATATAGAATGATGAATTTATAATTGGTTTCGAATCACATAATTGGATATTAATGTCTAGATAATCCTTTTAAGATGGAACAGAAATTTTAACATGGTATCATAGCTCGTTAAGTTCAAACGAGCAATTTGATTATATTAAAACTCAAAAAAATTGAGAACACGAATTTCAAGATTGACCTGCTCAAACGAGCCACCATCTTGAGAGGACATATTAAGGGATAAAAAGATGAAAATATAGACCAATTTATAAGAGTTTGGGTTACTCCTCTTAATAAGGTTGACATTCCAAGATGGAACCCCGAATCTTAACAAAGTTTAGTTATTACTAACCATCATTAGGGTTTGTTTTTCCTGCAGCTAATGAAACTGCTTTCACTGTTGAATTAAAGGAAGGGTGGATCGATCTAACTGGTACTCTTTGGGAAGGCCCTGCTTAATATCATTCATTGTATTCGAAAAAACAAAAAATGATCATCAACATTCAACATTAAAAACGACAAGCAAAGGGAAAAAATGCTTTTAAAATACTGAGCTGATACCAGCAAAAGACTGAAAGCCAAGGATGAGAAGACTAGAGAAATTAGATGGCTGTCCATGGCAGCTGGTAACAGAAATGATGCTAAGTAATTGAAGGTATGGTGCGCGCGTCTCTTGATGAGAATGAGTATATATGTGAATCGACAGCACATTTGTAACATATATATATTTTGTCTTCTTCAAACTGAGTAGTTGCCTGATTAATTAATTATCAGTAGCTATATGTGAAAGATTCACACTCCATTGTTTATCAGAAAATGAACAGGAAATAAAGAATTAAAAGTTGTATTTAATCTCAATTGGGAAGTTTTATATGAGTTGACATTTTATCTCCCTATTTATATTCAACTTATTGATGATTTTGACTTGGTTTTCCCACCCATAAGGGAAAAGGTAAAATGTAAAGAACTAACATTGATTATGCAGCTGACCAAATTGACATAAGAAACTAGAGGTGCATACCAGTTATAACTAATAGTGGATGGCATGATCACCTTGGATAAGACTTAGTAAGGTTTTTGAGTGTTCTTTCTATTATTATATATGGAGAACTATACCGATTATAAAAAATTCTACAAAACTCTCAAAATTTCCACCACTGGCACCAAAGTATCACATAGCAGGGCTAAGATATTGTACCTTTCTATTTCATATCAAAAATCCTAAAAAATCAGACCAAACGAAAAGTCAAAATTGCTTCAATGGACTAGAAGATCCATTCAAAAAACTTCTTCTTCTCACAAAGTACAATCACTCAAACGTGTTTATCTCACAAGGAAACAAAGAAATCTCCCAAGTCCCAACGAGAAGTTGGAGACTGAAGAGAAGACACGGAGAAGATTCGAGAAAAAATGTAGAAGAAAATCAGACAAGTGGTCTGAATTAGAGCAACACGAGTGTATCTATTTATATACTTGATAACTATCGTTGACTTTAATCAAGACCTAATCGTCGAGAGCAATTAGTGTTGGGAATTTACTTAATCATGCACAGCGGAAATAAAATAATTTTCAATTCTCAAACGAGGATCTGCAATGTGTTTAGATAGAAACTGTGATGAGAATGATACCTTTGATGAATTCCACAAACTCTTTTGCTTTTTCTTGAACTCCAATGATCACGATCTGCAATCCAAGCTGTCCAATTGTCCAGCCTCCAATGGTGATCCACACAGAGAACAAGAATGACGGCTAGGGTTTTCTTTTCTTGTGCTAGCAAGAATAATGAAATTCTCTACTGTTTTTCAAACCCTAACAGCTTATTAATATAAGTCCAGATGGGCTCGGCCCATCTATTAAACTTAACCCGGTCCAAGATTTAATTAATCAAATTAATTAAATCTGGTCCATGAATTAATTAATCCAATTAATTAATTCGGGCCTATTAATAAACAACCCAATTAATTAATTATCCAACACTTGTCAATTAATTAATTGGTAAATCTCATTCTTCTGATTCTCTTTTGTGTGTGACCCATTAGGTTCCCGATCACGATGCCGAACGACGTGAATTATTATTTTGATCTAATCAAAATCGATAAATTAAAACGCCCCTTTTAATTTATCACTAATTCATTTTCGTTGTCCCAGATTGACATCTAGCAATGTATCAGGGCAATACATGTGACGGGAAATATCACGTAGCATGACAAAACCAAACTTGTTCGTTTACCGTGAAACTATAATCCTTTCGTCAATATGATCCGATCAATTATGAGATATGGATATGTGTCAATCTCAATTATCGATCATATCTTTTATCCCACTGTTAAGTCAATGTACGTCGAAAACTCTTTTCCGACTTATGAGTTCACCTTGGCCAAGGATTTCATTATCAACTTAACTGGATAAAATGTAGATCATAATCTCTTACTATCTAAGAGTGACGAATCCTCTATTGATCATTCACAACCTTCATATGATTCTTGACATACCCGAACGATGCTGTATTAGCGACCCTTGACAGAGCAACATCCAACATCACCAAAGTATGACTGCCCTCATATAAGGTACTATGATGACCTCAAGTCAAAGGACCAATTCCACTACCGAACGTTAGAGATTAACCACTAACACTTAGATAGTTATCCATGTGGAATCTCTCAGCGGGTCTCCAATGTTTTGTTCTATAACAAAACATCCACGTGTTCATTCAAGTGTCACCACACTTTAGCTTGTGAGATCAGCTACTTACTTCACAAGTAAGAATGCCACACGCGATAGTCTATCCGTAATAACGATATCCGTATCTCGTTATTATTTCGATCACGGGCGATTTAAGATTCAGTCAGATGTAATTTGTATCTCACAATCACAACTCCTTGTGATTAACAAATCACCAAAACTTGAATCTACGGATTCTATTATTTAATTTATTAGAATATTAATTCAATTAAATAATAGATATTGCCATACATATGCATTGATTATATATATATTCAAAGTGTTTATGTCTAAAGTTAATTGGACCTAGGGTATAACACTTACAACTAGCAACTTTACAACAATGGGAGGCAACATTTTATAACTAAAGTCGCATATACAAAATGCGACATTACTCAAATTAATGGACCAGGTTTGGGCTTCATCATTGAAGTTATCGCGCAATATAAAAGTCATAGGCCAAGCCCAAATCGTCATTGCCCCAGTTTAACATAAAATTTGCATAACAGTCTATTTAAGGATAAAATACAATATCGACTAAAGATAAAAATATAGATCAATTTATAAGAATTTGAACTACTTCTCTTAATAAGGTTAACTTTTTATGATGGAAAACTCCGGTCTTAACATGGTATCAAAAGTCATTAAACTTAAACGAGCATTTAGATCCGATAAAACTCAAAAAAATGAGTACACAAATTTTAAGATTTGTTTACTCTTGAGTTACTCCCTTTAATAAATTTGACATTTAAAAATGAAATTTAAAATGTTAAAACAGTCTACCATTTTCATTAACAAAATTGTACAAAATAGATTATAGTACAATCGTACGCTTGTTGACATTCCTAATTTGTGGGATAGAGAAAGATAATGACAACTATACATGGAAACTGTGGGAATCTAATTTCACAAACTAAAATAAATAATTCTTGAAATTATGTTCTATAAGATTGAGTTTTTGATCCTCTCCTCCATCCAGCTTCTCCTCTTGTAGAAGGAGAGCAAATGAAAAGAGACAATGGTAAATTTTTATTTTCTCTATCCAACCTGTTTTTCTGTTTCTCGTTTCATATGTTTTTCAACATTTTAAGTTGTAGTGGTGTTTATATATTTCTTATTCTTTTTACAAAATGTGTCTCCTTAAATTTAATTAAATGTGAATGATGAAAGTCACACAAAGGTCAAATATATAATTTAATATGACAAGTTATATATATAAATTCTAGTGTTGTAATTGTAACTTATGGCATAAACATTACCGGATATTAAACATATTTGTATCAAGTACCATTATAAAAGCGGAAGCGTACCTAGATCAGACATGATTATCGCAATGAATGAGTCTAGCGATTTTAGTCTTCCAGATCAAC